CATCAATCAATATTTCAGCATTATATTTCATGGGGTTTATGGTACTTATCTGTTTATGTTTTGCTTTTCTATTCCATTGTTCATCTGCACTACTTTTCTGGCAATTCAAATTAATTATTCTTCATAGATTCTCAAGATGCATTACACTCTATTTATTTGTTATACTGCTGACCATGATTAATCACCTAACACAATCTGAATATCTCATTTTTAACAATCATGATAAATTGTAGCCTATCATGGCAACTTTATATGCTTCCCATGCAAGATCTAAGTGAAAAAAAGGTTATATCGTAATTAGGAAGCACAAGCATACTTTGCCAAAATAATGCTTGCATTTCCATGCTTTTGCTAAAAAGATTTTAGAGCACATCATCCTAGATGTTCTGTTCTATTCTTCTGGGACTATAGGTCAGCAACTTTACCACAGTGCATCTCATATGGAAGGAGGGCCTTTTTGCAAAATTTTATTGCTGCCTTGAGAACTCATGAAGCAGGATAAAACAGCCTGTCACATGGCAAGGTGACGCTGAAAAACTCCTTATGTGGTCTCTAGCTGGTATGGGATGGATCCCAGTCCCACTGCTCTTTGGTGCTACATTGCCCAGCACCCAGCATGTCCCAGCTGAAAACAAGCATCGTGCTGAAAGCTGGTGAAAAACACAATTTCACTTTTCACCTCCCTTTTTTTTTACACACAGGAAAGCTGTGGCCATGCAGGCTCCTCACGGTGTCTGATATGGGTGACTGGGATATCAAGTTTCACCCCATCAGGTTGTATAAACTTGGCCTCTCTGAATGTCACATTTAGTGTGACACCTTTTCATGCTCAGTTTCTCCCTGCTCCCAAGTGTTCCCTGGCCCTGCTGTCTTTCATCACTGTCTGGGTGACAGTGGAGGGTGAGACACAGAAGCATCAATCCCAGTCCCAAATCACCTGTAGCTACACTTGCAAAGTGAATGTTCAGCATATCCCTTGCAGTTTACCACTTGATTTTACTTTTAAACAGCAGAAAAAAAAAAACCAAAAAACCCCACAGTAATAGAAATGGTAATTCATATTTTAAATTATTTTTTAAAATTATTATTACATCTATTAAACATTTATGGTTTCTCTACTTGCATATGTTAAATCCTTTCTGAATTAGCATCTTGCACTTGGCAACAAGTTGTTTTGGAATAATCAGTGTGTTTGTCATTAATTTCAAATAAAATCATGCACTGAAAGGAGAAGCACGATCAGCAGTCAGTAAAATTGAAATTAGGTAATTCTTTGGTTGTCTCCCTGTTCTTCTAATGTTCTTCTAAGACTTCTGATGTTTACAATTTAATGGAATTTCGCAGGCACTTTTCATGTAAATAATAATTGTTTTGCATTCCTTTCTGGAGGAGGAGAGAATTGATGGACTGTTGGTTTGACCAGTGTGGTTAGAGAGGTGACAATTTCATCCTCCAATCCATGGTCACTTTTGGAATTCTATAAATGTTGAGGTCTGGAAATAAACATGCCTTTTTTTGCCTTGGACATCTCAGGGTGTGAGTGTCATTCATTTCACGTCGCATTGCGACATTTGATTATAAGCATAAGCAATCAATTATCAGGATTTTTTAAATTTGGCTTTAATTTTGTCACTAGAAGTCATTGGACAGCAGTTCTTTAAAGCTGGAGTCTTGCTGTCCCTGCTCTGAACAGAGCTAAGGTAAGAAAAATCCTAATATCCTTTCATTACTGAACAGAGGAACTCTGAAGTGTTGGTGGGAAAAATCTGGAGAGAGAGAAGAGTTGGATCTCTCTTCTGTCACTGCCAAAACAGAGCTCTGTGAATGTAAATTTAATTTATTAGAGCCAGTGTGTTTGTTTCCAAGAAGGTGGTGACAAAAATTGCACAATTCCTCTAAAAAAACCACTTAATAAAAGTTAAGGTTGCATATTAGCTCTTATGGTTAGGGGTTAGGATTGGCATTGTGTCCATATCTCACAGTGTTTTCTCAACTCATGCTTGAATTTAGAGTTCTAATTTTGATTTAACTGACTGAATTTTATTTTATTTCTTACTCTTTTCGAGGCTCTCTTTCAGGTCTAGAAATATTCACAGATTTTTGGACCTTGAAATAAAGTATGATTTTCCTCAGAATTTAATTGCTGTTCAGATTAACTTTAAAATATCCAAGCAGAACTTCTATATGCAATATCTGGAGGGATAAATGATTTCAGCTTTGAAAGAAGCACAAGAATGGATTACCCTTCAGGATTTTAAATGAAGCAACATGCAGCAGAAACATCTAATCAATGAGTTGTTTAATCAGCTGGAGAACTAGTTATGGGTTTCTGCTACAAACTTACATCATTATTAGTATTAAATTTTTTTATTATTTTTTCTAGTAATGGAGGATTTTGTGATTTTCTTTCCTTGAAGAACGTGTTTCTCCAGATAACAAACTGCTCCTTGGTTGGACAAGGAAATCAGGAGTAGTAGTGGTGTATTTATAATAAATAACTGAAGGAGAAAAATTCTGTATGTTAAATTCTGAAAAATTTCTTCTCCTACTCCTTTATAATGCTCTCCCCATTTCCCAAGTTACTGCTGCCCATAATTTGAAAAAAATATTTAATCACTTTAATTTCACCTCTTTTTCTCTTTTATTGACGTTCTCTTTTTTAAAGGAGATTTGATTATTTTTTAATCTTACTGTTAAAAATTTTACAGTTTTTCCTTTTTTCATGAGGATCAGCTGGGAAAACCCATGATTTACCTAGCATGTGAAATCAAAATCACTGGTGCCCACAGAGACTGCAAAAGCATTTTTGTCAGCAACATGGAAGCTTATGCAAAGGCCAAATTACTATAATAATGGCAGATTCAATAATCCAAATAACAGAAATGGGAAAATCACAGGCTTATTGGAAATGACGGAATTGAAAATATTATTTGCATGACGGTTTTGCTACAATCTATAAAAAATGTGATGCATTCAGGAACTGCACTTGAAACATAATTTTTTTTGCTTCTATCGGCATCAGGACTGCTTTTCCAGAGTTGTTAGTGACACTTTGATGTAAAAGCAGTTTTAAAATCTCAGTCGAGAGTCTATGTCTATATTAAATGCAAATGGGAAAAAAATCAAAGCAAATTTGATATGATTAATGAACAAAACACTCTAATCTCCTTTCGCCTTTTCCTTTAGTGAATACTGTATCTAATAGCATAAGACCATTAAATTGAGCCTTCATGCTCTCTGACATTTTTTCAGAAGTGCTCTGTACTTTAGACATTAAGAACATGTTCATGTAAATGAAATTTGTGTATCTTTAGTAGAAGCACAATGGTAGAAGGAGAAGGATTTAAGCGTAGCCACAGTCACACTGATGAGAATTCCTGGTTCAGCTCCACATCTGTCTCCTGATCTTTGGCCTTTTCTCCTCTTGACCTAAGTTGACTCTGAGAATCAAGGCTGTGTAGGAGAGTCTGTGTTGAGGGCATTCTGATGGATCTTTTGTGTCTTTGGTAAATAACACCAGGAATGCTATAAACCTGTTGACTCCAACAGGAAGAACACAGTGGAAAATTAAATAAATTGTTTATCCACTATTTATCTGTATACCTGGTCAGAATCAGCTCTATCTTTGCAATGTAAAGGGGTTTTTTTGTTGTGTATTGTGAGTCAGTTGCAATTTCAAAATTGTAACCATCCTCCATTAAGCATTCATCATAATAAGTGGTGTTCATAGAGCCAAATCAACTCTTTCAACAATTTTCAGATTTGAAACTCCCTAATTTTGAGCAGTTGCTAGATAACCTATGACCAGCAGAGAGTGGAAAAGAGAAGGAACTGAGTGGGATGAACAGCAGAGATGTTGGATTTGCCTTCACAACTTTGCAGATGTTTTGTGTTTCTATTTTGGGGTATACAAGGGCTGACAGCAAGAGTTTCAGGCCAATGCTTTCCTGAAAGCAGGGGAAGGTGTTCTTGCAGGAACATATTGCAGATTTCACTGGAGATTGAGAAAAACTGGAAGGGAGAATGGCAAATAATTGTATCATAATTACATGCTGTTGAATTGAGCTGCCTCCAGCCAAACCAGACAGAAGATGGGTGGAAGGGGTGAAGTTCAAAGAGACTCTTTGAAAAGTTATGTAGAGATTTCTTCTTTCAGCATGCCTCTGAAAAGTTGCTAGAGCAGAAAACAATCCTACTTTTAAAAGAAATGATTGAGAGAAATTTGTTTTCTTTAGTTGTCTCCTGTCTATCTGCTTTTGAATAGTCTGTGTTTAAAAAGCCTGCACCAAACAATTTTCTTATTTCTTTCTGTGATTTGAAAAAACAACAATTTATAGAATTTTGGAACTTTTTGACATGTCTCTCTTTCCAAAGGATGTTCTACCTCCAAACTTCTAGATCAGGACTCCACTGGACTAAACTGTGAAGAATTTACAAACTAATAGTAATGCTACAAATGATCAATTGTCTATAAAGCTTTCCTTGTCTGAAATCTTTCTTATCAAAAGCAATTATAAAAGTGCTATTTTGCCTATAATACTACCATTAGCAGATTTTTAGAAATACTTATGTGAAGTACCACATAGATTTTTGTTAAATTAAATTAAAAAAAGGTCTCTTTTTCTCTTGGGACTTGTCATTTAGTTCTAAAGAGCAAATTATGAATTCGGATATATGATAGCTCAATAGTCCCAATATTTAGTTAGGATGGCTAGGTGCTAAAAAGTTGCCTACACTGTTTTAATTCAAATGATTGTAACAAAGCACTCATAGGATGCCTTGTGTCTCTCAAACATCAGATGTTAGAGGGAATTTAAACAGATTTTCTGTACGAGTGGATGGATCACATCACATTCAAATATTTTTGAATGAAAAGTGCTTGGCTAATTCCAGAAGAACAAAAATAAGTGAGTTTATTCATCTTTTCCCATTATAATCTCATTATGTGGAAGTGCTTTTATGTCTTTTAAATTTTTTTGTTTGTTGTTTGTTTATTGCAGGAGGACTTCTAAGGTGTCTGCAAGTGGCTGTGTTGCTGTTAAATTTAATGGGCTCCAGCTGTGCAACGGCATTATCACTAAGAAAGAAAAAATCACTAGAAGGAAAAGCCAGGAAAACACGGTGCTTTTTAAGGGTTATTTGCTTATTGGGAGGATGTATCATGGATAGGTGTGTGTGGGGATTTTTAAACAGCACTGAAGGCATACTGAGTTGCACAGACATGCAGTGTAATTTTGGTAACCTGAGACACCAGAGTGACACAATTAAAGATCTGTGGTGGAGGGACTGCTCACGCCTGAATGTGTCCTCACACATTCTTTGTCTGTGAAGCAATTCAGAATCATGTTTTCCTATGCATTAGATAACTTGCTTATAAGATATTTCTCAAACACAAAGCCTTCAGCCCCTATTCATGGAGATTCAAGAATTTTCCTCTTCCACCTTTGCTGCCACAACTGCATCTTATTTGCTTCCCTGTATGCACAGAGCTGCACCAGCACTGCTGGCTGCCCTAAGGGTCAAATCCCACCTTGAGTTCATTCCTGTGCTGTCCTGTCCCTCCATCTCTGAGTTTTTTTAGGAAAAATGAAGAATGCTTTGCTAACTGTTGTCACTTTGTCCTCCTTTCCTGCTCCCTTCCCTTGTCTCCCATTCTCCAGCAGTGTTTTGGCAAGGCAGATGTTTGAGGTGAACGTACCAAAAGCAGCAGGTGATGACCATGACTCACTGGGCACTGATTTCTTGCTGATGATAACAGTATTTGTGAGATTCAGATGTGTCTGTCATGCTCAAGTCCCTTTTTGCATCACACTTTTGTGTCCTCATTCTTACATGCCCCACAAGGATAAGCTGATTTCACCCAGGAGAGCAGGAAAGGTGCAGTTAAAATAGTGTGCATAGGAAAGGGCAAGTACGATTTGAGATCCATGTTACGTAGAGATGTGTCTAACTTCACATACTGAAAATCTGATGGTTTAGGAAAATCTGATGGTTTACTGATTGCCAATCTTCTGAAAAAATCAGAGCCTTTTTGATAATGAACCAAAATGAAATTGGGCAATTTCCTATTGCCTTTGATCTAAATGATTAATTTCTTCTACCTTACTGATTGATCTTGCTCAAGCTGAATTTGACTAACAGAGTAAGACTTGTTTACAACTTGACTTGGAAATACACATGAAATGTGTATATTTGATGATATTTCTTTTTCATTTTTTTTAGATTATTTTTTTATTGCATTCAGAGTGAGCAGTCTAAAAATTTTAAGTGACATAAAGAAAGCAAAGATCCTGAAGAGGGCTCTGTCTCTGGAAGCAGTTCCAACACGGGACAGAAAGTGAAATTTCAAAATGGAATTAGGCCATTTGGCAGGTCAGTTGTTTCTTCTGTGGTGAGCAAGGCCAAATATAAACCTCTGCCCTTCTGCTTGACTTTGGGTATGGAGTTGGAGCCACACATGACACACAACCTCAGGTGACATCCCTGTGTGACTGGAATCAGGCGTTTTGCACTGTATCCACTGCATTTCCTCATACCCCCTTTGTTCACAGTCTGTGTGTGCTCTGGATTAAAACCACTGCAGTGATGAGGATAAGATTAGTAACCACATTAAATTTATATTTAAGAATTGATTTTGCCTGGAATCATAAGTATCTAGTACATCAGCCAAGTTACCACAAATTTCATTTAAATGTTCCCCTTTGTGTGTAATGATGTGACTTTGAATTTACTTTTTAAGAGATACTCATCATGAATATAAAATGTTCATCTTCAAAATCAACACAAAGAAAGATCCATTATTTCAATATGTTTTCTGTTATTCAGCTATGCTTTCCGGTTATTTTAATGCTTAATCCATCATTTTGTGACCTTCAGCATGGGAAAGGTAAATGTAAATCTTTCCAATAACAGAGAAACAAATTGAATGAAAATGAAGACTGTTTTTTTTTTTTTAATATAAAAAATGCTAAAATTTAAAACAGAGAATTCAAGATAAAGCTCTGCTCTTCAGAAGGCTGTCTTCTGACTTCGTAATAATTATTCATTTTATATACTTATATTTGAGGATAGATAAACAAGACCACATAAAGTTTTTTAAAATGTTGTTGGAGATTTTTTCAGAGATGGCTTAGAAGGCAGCTGTGAGGAGCAGATTCTCACAGCCTGTTTCTGTGAACAGCAGAGGTTCTCAGGTTATTTTTAATTACAGGTAAAAGTGACAAACATGAAGGCTTTGAGATCCTTGCACATCAGAGTTCTCAGGCAGCTTTCTCATATCAAGTGGATGTTCTATCTTTGGCTGTTTTGGGAAAGCAAGAATAATTTTGAGAACCCAAATCTTGGTATTGGAAACATAAGGAGGGGTTGGTGTGTTATCTCTGACCTATTGTGAGCTCAGATTTTGCAACATGCATGAACTTGATTAACACTGTTATAAAAGGTGCCTGATTGATGAATAAACCGGAGTTGATGCTGATCAATGCAAGGTGGGTCGTCTCCCCCCGACTTCAATAAAATGTGTCAAGGGAAAAGCTGGAAATACATGCAAAATTTTTGAGTTGTGGTTTTTGTCTATATCTTTAACCTAAAGTGCTTTTGGTATTGGCTTTTTTTTTTTTTTTTCCCAGTGCAAGCAGAAGAGCCTTAGAGGCTGTGAGGAGGGAGAAGGAACATTCATCTCAACAATCCACCTCATGTGTCTCAACAAGATTAGTTTTTCTGTACCTCTTTAATTTCCACGGTGGTAAAACATGCACATGTTTTTCAGAATAAAGTTCCTCTCAGTTTTGGCATGAGTGTGGTGCTGGTTTTTCTGCTCTGACTTTGGCCAATCCTATTCAGAAAGGATGAGGTCTTCCCACACTCCTCATTTAGCCATTTGTGATGGCAAGTGCTATATGACAATGATGATGCACCAACATTGCCCCAATTAGAAATAATTGGTGATGATTTATTATCTGTACATATGAAAAAGGAAAGATGAAACGATTGTTCAGATAAAATCTGCAATGGCACATTTTGGTTTTGACCTGTCAGAAATGTTCCCTTCTGGCTTTGCTTTAGTGCTTGTAATTCTGGTTCCTTTGCCAGTCTGTACCTATGCAGAATGGTGCAGAAAGAATGTCAGACCATCATCCTGTTTACTCACAGCAGATTTATTCCACTGAAATGCCTTTAGTTGCAGAGCACACCTCTCCAAATTTGTGCTCAGTTTTATGTAGCACTCAGGGAATCAAACTGGACCCTAATCACAAATTAGGAAATTTTAATCCTATTATGCTTTCTTTTGTTCTTATCTCCAGTTTATTGAATTAGTAGCAGTTAGTGCAAATAAGAAAACTGATAGAAAACTGGTGAAAGTGAGAAGCCGGTTGACGTTTTTGTGTCTAAATTTGAGTGACACTAATATATATCAAGGGACATGTTTCTCAGCAAGGTTTCTTGATAAAAGAAATTTTCTTTGACTAACAGGAATAACTTAATTCAGTTTTAGATGTGTGAAGATGCCTATGTCTCAGATGAAATTCCCTCAGAATAGTGTATCAGCTTACACTGGATTCAGGCTGACTACATAATATACATTTTGTCTAACATAAGACCAAAGAAATTGCATCATAAAAGTCAAAACACTGTTTTCACTAAGGTTCAAAGGTCTGTATTGCTTTTTTAGCTAGGGAAAACAAGAAAATAATTAATTCTGATTTTTATTCACCCTTTTTTCCCAGAAGATACAATATGACCTTTGTGGAAGTCCATGTCTCACAAGTAATGTTGTAGTAGGCATTCTAGTACCTTTTTTCCTGATTCTTACACCTTCTCATTTAACATAATAATGTGATTGAGAAATTGGGTAGAGAAAATTCAATATCTATATATTTCCCAAAGTATTTGATTCATGTAATAACTGTACTTTGTTTCCTGTTATTTATTTTTTACATAGCCCTAAAATGCCAATTGCCATAACAGCAAATGCCACTTTAATTATCTGTTTCTTTAATAATTTCATTTCTCTCTCTGTATATTTTCTCTCTGAAAAAGAGGAAAAAGACTGTCACACATGGAAATGACAGGATGGTTGGTCTCAGGTGGAAATTAGATGATATCATGGTTCTTAATACTCCTATAGTAGGAGTTAATCACTCTCATATCATCTTTCAAATAACTGTAGGAAATGTGTAAGTCCAGATTTGTTCTGTAGAAATAAAATTAGGAGAGAAAAAGCAATGAGAGGAGAGCTAGTTTAAAACCAGTATTTTCTGGCATTTCACTGAGTAACTAGTAATCTGAAAGAGAAGAAAAACATGAAATCAGCTAAGGATCAAATAGGATTTCAGACAGAAAATTAAGATGGACACAATTATTGTAACCTGATGGAGAAAAACCTCACCAATCCAAAATAATCAAATGTTTAAAATACAAATCCATTTCCTCCTACACAGTTAGGTATGTCAAGTTCTGCTACTTCATATACTCTGAATTATCTCCCTTTGTTGAAGCTAAATATCTTGTAATAGCAGAAGTTCTAGATAAAATTTTTTGAATAAAGCTGTTTAGCTCTCGTGAAATTATATTAGGTGCACTCACAGAGGCATTGATATTTCAACTATTGGAGAAACAACTTTTCAAATTTTATAAGATTCATCTTCACTTTTCATAGTGTTATCTCCATTATCAACTCCTATATTCAAAAATTTTTAAAGCATAAATATAATTAGGCTTCTTAATTAGAGTTTTGTATAAATGAGATTTTTCAGAGGATGATGTTTTTAAACTTCCTAGTGCGCTAAAACCACTGACAAGAGTTTTTGTAAGGATCCATGGCTTTTAAAGGTCTATCTTTTAGATAACAATTCAGTGTATTCAGAGATCACTCATTGGGCAGGAGGGCTCCTCAGATGCAAGGGGAAGGCCCCAAACTCTGATGGATGTTTTCCATGGTAAGCCAGATGTCTGCAAATTCGGGCAGGTGGTTTCATTCAGGTGGAATCCAAATTTTCCTGAATAAAGGTGAAATGTACTTCACCCACATAAATCATGAGAATAAAGCTATGGATGGGTGAAGGCTGGGTGTCATGAAGTGCATGCCCTTGCCTCCACATCTGGTCTACCTCATAATAATGTCAGTCACTCCACATTGCAGGAAAACCAAGTGCAAAGCAGGATCTTGAATGTAGGAGGCTTCAGCAACCCTCAGCAAGGTTGGTCCTCTCTTCTCACACTCAACAAGTCCATTTTCATCTAAAAAGCATGTTTCATAATGACCAAAAGGTGTAGGACTAACAACCTAACTCCCAACAACCTCCTGAAATATTTTAATTAGTATGAAAAGCTCTTTTGTATGTTCAGTTATCCCTATTAACAACACCATAAGACAATAGAAATCACAGAAAGAAAGCCATTTGCTATCTCTCATGCATGTCCTGAAGAGGGCATGGTTCCATTATTGACTGCTAATTCATTTGCTTGGACTCACCATTGTCTAAAGAGTTTCCCCTTTCCTTTCTTTTTTAAATACAGACTTATTTGCCACTAAAGAAGAATTTTCTAAAACCTGATCCTTGTCTTGACTTTTTTACAAAGATAGTCTCTAAAAAGGTATCAGAATTTTTTCTCTTTACTCTGTTTCCTATTACCTAAACTGTCACCATTGTATCTTTTATCTCCAGCAGCAGAATGCTTGTCAATATTGATCCATCTTCTGTATATTATTCTAAATCACTTTTAGCTGAGTTACTTCTCTATGATTTTGATGAATTAAAGTACTTGTCAAATCTTATTTGCAAATCAAGAGCCTTTGACTCTTGAAGGGCCAAAGGTTGGAGAGAGAAGCTGCAGAGCAGCCCATAGGCAGGAGTGTTTGCATTATATTTTCCAGTCACCTTGCAAAGGAGGCACATAGAGATGAGTTTGGGTATCTTGTTTGGGCAACTTATTTAAAGCAGGTTCATTTATGAATTCACCAATGGAAAAAAATAGTTATCTAGTAAGATATTGCCATGACACAAGGTTTTGATGCTTTACTGTGGAATATCAGGAATGTTTTATTTGACCCTTATGTTTCAGTAATTACTTTACAGCATGAGACCATATATTAGTAAAAACACTGTCAAATACTTCATAGTATGGCATTTTAAAAATTGAGGTTTTAATGTATGTTCTGCATTAATATATATTTTCAAGAGGATTTTCCTACGGTTAGCCTTCATTATTTTCTCTTTGGCTCATGCCTTTTGAAGTAACAGCTCAGTTCCTGCAGGGCTACTTGTAAAAGACTGTCATTATTTAGAATGGATCATTTAATTAACCTACCACAGAGTCTGTAAGGAAAATTAATCAGTGTAGTTATAGTGCTTGTATGAGTCACAATTACTAGGCAAATAGGTTACTGCCCAATAGAGTTGCTGTAATCCAACTGTACATAGGCTCAAAGAATTTGGGGACAAGCTTTGTTTACCCATAATTACACCTAATGCCATTTGCTCTAGATAGGCTATAGCTTTTGTTGTTACTAATTAATTTATGTAGTGGGTAAAATAATTTATTTTAATATCAGTGTGTGACACTATCTGAGGGTAAATTGCCTGTCCTATGACTGGAAGGAATAATTACAGAGAAAATATATCAATTAAAATGAGCTTTATTAAACTATGTTTATATTGTGAACACAGTAAAAAAAACCCTCCAAAGGTCTGATCTGTATGCTTGACCTTGGGGCACTTACTTAATAGAACATCTCATACATTATGTTTTAATTGAATCATCAGGAAAACAAAAAATATTGATCCTTCATCTCATTATCTAAATCCACATACCTGGAGGACAGATTAAAAAAAAAAAGTTTAATCTCATTTGATATGGTAAAATCAGGTTTCTTCCATAAAGAAAAACTGATGTACTGTCAGACAATTATAAAGGATACTCCAGTTAAAATAAATTGAGCTACAGCAGAGCAGACCTTGCTGTTTCAAGTGTGGCTAGAGAAATTCTATAAGATAATTGAACTTTAGAGTGCTAATTTTGACACAACAAAAACCAAAACCTTAAGGTGCAAAGCACTGATAGAGTGCTACAAATGCTTTTATTATTTTTTTCCAAAATATGTGAAATGATACTTCAATCTGTCAGAAATTTTGCTGCTTGTGGGATTTAATTGGATTTCCTGCACCAGCTCACAAGCCCTTGTTTTTGTTTTCCCCTGGAGGGAAATTCCAGGGGTGTTTTTCCAGCAGGGCTCAACCAGCAGACTTCAGGAAGCTGTGCAAGGGATTATTGATTTTAATTTTTTTTGTATTTTATTTTTTTTTATTATATTAATTTATCTGCTATTGTGGTGAATCCTTTGCGTACCTGATACTGATCCTGGGTGTGTAGTTCAGTGAGTGTGAATTCATTACCCATCCTTACCAAAGAGATCCAGTGCAGGTAATTAGGGAATGAAGATTACAAGCCTGAAGGGTTTAATCAGCTGGGTTTATGAAGTGGTATTTGACAACAGTTTTGTGTATTTGAATGTTAGAGGAAAAATAAAAAAACAACAAAACAAACCCAAAATTAACAAGTTACTGTTCAATCTTCAGTATAAATTTCCTTCAGTTTGAAAACTGACATTAGCCTCTGGATATTGTGCATGTATTTATCCCATAACTGATAATGTTTCGTTTTGTATTTCACATCTTGTGAGAGTGTGAAGCCCCCAGGCTTTTGGTTAATAAAGGCTTGTATGCTGGAGTGAAAAATTACTTAACATG